ATATTCTGGTTCCTGGCAAAGGACCAAAGTTCTTTGAAAATCCCTTTTTTTCCGGTAGATTTTACAAATATACCATACTTTGCATGTCTAAAAGCTGTGGAAGATCAGGAATTTGCCTCTAATTAGTCTCTTTTTAAACATCCTTTTGTGTTTTTGGTCATAATATTGAGTTTTTCTTCAGGATTTAAAAAATTCAGATACAAAGTTTTCATAAGCAAACAATATGAGCAAAAAGTACAAGGTGGTACCATAAAAAAAAAATTGAAAATTGGATGCTAAACCAATGAATGCAGGAGTGATATGGAATGATATGAAATCTTTTAAAGAAAGAGTTCAGTATAAGAACTGTTGCTATGTCATGCAACATTTTAGACACTGATGTATGCTTACGAGCAGCGTAACTGCCCTGGATTTATATTTTGCCCTCTATATTTTTTTGTGAAATTTGCTACATAGAGATGGCTCCACATGTCTCAGCCACCAAGGAGTCTATCAGTAGACCCAAGTTACCGACCCTGATTACCCATTCCTAGAATTGGCGGGGAACTGTGTTTTTCTTTTTAACAATTTAATTGATATCGATATTGTTATTGTTGTTGTTGTTGACTTTATAATTTTTAAGTTGTTATTAAAATATAGGTAACATTAAAGGCAATGAAATAATGAAGAAGACCCTTTCCAAAAGTTGAGGAAAAGGGTAAACAAGTGAGATACGTAGGACTAATCACTGACTCCTTGGTGACTGAGCACTTGTAGAGCCATCTGTGTAAATACAATAAATAAACTTGTATTATAGTGGGCATGGCATATATTCTTGCCATATGGGGTGATTGGGTTAAGTTGTTTTGGATTCAGTATTTAGATATTATAAGATTGTTTTGTGCTTTCAGGAACACACTCGAGATCCTAGTCCTTCCAAGGTTGGTGAGATGCGCAGCCGCTGGGAGCAGCACATACGTGATGCCTCGCCTGAGCGCCAGGACAGGTCACGGAGTCCCCAGAAAACTCTTTCTAGATCCATAAGTCCAAGGAAGCTACCAGCTGCTCAGAATGCCAGCCCTGTGAAATCCACGAGTTCTGTTGATGTGGGCACTATTGCAGGAGACCTAGCTTCTAGCCCATATAGGTAATATTATTTGCTTGTGTATAATTGTCTGCCTGATATTTATTGCTTGAAAATGAACGTTAATGATTACTTATGTAAATTTTGTGTATTTTTCAAAAGAAATCTGTACAATAAAAAACATCTCTTAGGATGAAATCCCAAGGAGATGGACCGCTAAATCGATTTGGTAATGAGCGCAAGAGCCGGAGAGACCTAAGTCCCCATAAACCCCCACCAGTTGGGGACATTGTGAAGGGTGAAGCTCCTATGCCTGCAGTGGTGCCACTCATTGACCCACACGTGTCCTCTGTGAGGCAGCGGGCAGCAGCATTTGATTCTGCAGGTGGGTGAGAGAGGGAGAGGGAGAGGGAGAGGGAGAGGGAGTGGTGAAAATTATGAAAAAAAGGAAAAATTGACGCATAAGAAAATGCTACTTACTGTTGTTATTATTGGACTGAGTTATGGACTACATAGAGAGATGATAAGGAGTCCATACAAGGAAAATAGGACAAAGCAAAGCAGATGACAGATATAGACATTGGAAATGGCATAAAAGCTAAATATTCTTATGCAGAAAAAGAGAAAGTAACAGTGCAAAGCAGAGGTGTAATGTCTTGTCACTGCACATGAATATTCATGCTTGTCTGGGCTCCAAGCCACAAACACCTCAGTGGCTGCTTAAGTAAGCCTAGTGCCCATATTTTGATTCATGTGCCATGATCAAGCAGTGAAGTATTGGATCCAAGGGGTTAATTTTTAATGCTTTCTTGCGATAAGATATGGTTGAAGCAAAGGTAGAAAATCATAAAATCTGGACATTTTAATGCATAGGTATATTAAAGATATCACATTTTATTTTGCCTGTCTGTTAGAGGTGCTTTTTACTTTTGATTTTAGATCTTAGATTCATTTCCTACCTGAAACTGCTTCATTATTTATATTGTGTTATTAGGAATCCCTAAATACATTTTCTTTATAAAAGAGTATTGTGCATTTTAACCCAGTTGCCCCAGATGGCAAAAAATGTCATGTCATCACTGTATTTTTTGTTTATTAATTGTTTTTACCCAGACAGCTCCTTAAGTTCATAATGATATGATAACCCTAATGTTATTAATAATGATAGTAATGTCAATATAAATAGCCATAGAAGGAGAGAGATGTTTTCCCACAAATTCAAGGAATAGGGATGCCAGACAAACACTAGGGCCTACAAATAGACTCCTCAGTGGCTTAATGTTTGTGGAACTAAATGTGTGTAACAAAATTCACAATAAACTTCAGTGTGCAATAAAACTGGGACAGTTGGGCTAAGAAGTAAAACTGCTTTTTGAATTAAAAATCTAATTCTATTCAGTCTTCTGTCAAATAGATAAGATTTGTTATGCAAGACCTGACAGTTGTTCCTCAAATATATATTTTCTGTTTTGAGTTATTGCAGTACGGCATTAGTGATTTTTGACAACCTTATGTAACCGTATTATCAAGGAACTATACTAGCAGTATTGCTGACCTGTCATTTGTCCCAGACTATACATGATCATGTGACTTTATGTGTAACATATTCACAGGTGGAAGCCGTGACCCAGAGAAGGACCCGGCAGAGCTGACACTTCAGGAACGACGAGCTCTCTTCAACAAGAAGCAAGCAGCTGCTTTGGTGCCCAAGGCTCCTTTTGGCCAGTCAGTGCCTGCCAAGGTACAACCTTATTATCAATGTTTTAACCCATTGCCGCTGGAGAAATTGAACAAAAAATGGGGAAAATTCTGTACTCATTTTTTATATTTTTGTGAAATATCTCTGTCCATAGATGGCTCTGCTAGTCCTGATTTCACCTTTCCTTGAATTGGCGGGAAAAAATGTATTCTTACTAGTGCTATAAATATAGATGGCGTTATTTTTTATAGCAAATTAGGATAACGTTAAATATTTTCGTAAATCAATGAAAAGGGTAAACGGACGAGACAGGCAGTTCTCGTAATTGGCTCATTGGTTACTTAATACAAGTGTAGCCATCTATGTGTAAAAACAATCAAACAAGTCAACTCACAGTGGGCATGGCATGTACGTATATGCCATCCCCGGCGGCAATGGGTTAATATTACACACTACACCAGGGTTTAAGAGAAACACCCACCATTGAATGAGGAATTACTTATCTTGCCCCATTAATTTAATTTGTGCTGGTAAATTTACATAAATTTTTTAATATTCTACTACTGTTAATATTGTGTATATTTTGTGACTAAATTTTTGGAGGGTTCTCAAATTGGCCATCCATCCCCCCCCCCCCTAATTAGTTGCTATAAATCATTTGTATTCTATACCAATCCTAGAATGAACAGAATAACTAAAACACCAACAATTGATGTTATTCATTATAATGATATTTGCATTTGAAAAATCAAACCGTGGAGGGGAAATGATTAGCTACCCAGCAGACAGCTGACTGGCTGTTTCCATATTTTCTAATTAATTCTCCCATATGCTTCTTTAGAAACATAAAAACAAGGCTAACACACATCGACAGAAGTCCCATGCATAATAATTCATATCAGGAATAATGAAGTGTATTGGAAAGCCACTGTTGCAACAATATGGTGCTCAAGTCATTAGAATAAAAATGAAAATGAATAAAAATCCAGGAATAGATAGTTGTGGTAGTACCCATGATGGAAATGTATTGGGGTCTTGTTCATAGTTGAGTTTTTCCATATATAATTATGAAGGACCCCAAATTATAGTTGCCCATGAATTACACAATGGAAATTGAACTAGAAAGTCTATTCTTCTTATGTACTTTTATGAGCAAAGCTTCAGTCTTCTCTATTTAGCAACAGTGTGATTTTGAACCAACCAGAATTTCACTTTTGTAAGCAGTTGGATGAATAACATCTGTCACTCATATCATTGGCATTAATATTCTAGTCTTGAAATCACTAGTATTTTCCATAGTGGCAGTAGGGGTACTGTGGGTCTCTTGTAGGAAAAGTTTCATCTATCCACTCATAACTTATCTTTTATTGGCTTTTATTGACTGAAGCTCATATCATCACTCATAAACAGGCCTAGGTCTTTTAAAACTACCTTTTCTTTGAGTTTGATCTTGGTCCAGTCGGACTATATCTTATGATTTCTTATTTGTCAGCATTGAAGGTCATATTGTTTACATTTACAAATGGCATGCTGGTTCAGTTTTTGTTTTCTTCATCCTCTATTAACCCCTTTAACCCATTGCCGCCGGGGATGGCATGTATGTACATGCCATCTACATATATATCTACATATATATATACATATGCATGTTTATTTATATATGTATACATATATATACATATATATATACATATATATATACATATATATATACATATATATATACATAAACATATATATACACATATATATACATAAACATATATATACATATATACATATACACATATACATTGCTTTCAGTTTCTTTTTCATTTGTGCACTAATGGTCCATGACTCACTTCCATATAAGAGAACAGACCAGATGTAACATTTCAGAAATCGTTTTCTTGTTTCAATAGAGATTTTGGTGTTCGTAAAAATGCTTTTCTTTTCCATAAATTTTTTCTTTGCAATTGCAATTCTACGTTTTATATCTTTGTCGCACCTGGCATCACTTATTATCATGCTTCCTAAGTATTCAAATTCTTGTATTTGTTTAATTTTCTCATTGTCTAAATAGATATTACATGTAGGAATATTTCTGTTTTTGCTAAACACCATCAACTTTGTTTTCTTCTTGTTAATAGTCAATCCTCTGACTTCACTTTCATTTTTCAAACTAACTAACATTTCCTGAAAGTTTTGTTCATCATCAGATATTAAGACTGTATTGTCAGCATATCTTATATCAGAAATAGGATGTCCATTTACTTTAAACTTCCCTTCGATAACTTTCCTCATAATCAACTCTGTATACAGTGAGAACAGGTCGGGCGGTAGAACACACCCTTGCCGAACTCCACGTTTGATGTTTATCCATTCACTTAAGTCACCATCTATAGATATAGCCGCAATCTGTTCCCAGTACAAAGTTTCTAACAACCTTCTTTCTTTTTGATCTACACCTATTTGTTCCAGATCTTTCATTATTTCATGATGTGTTTAACCCTGTCAAAAGCTTCCTCATAATCAATAAATGCTACATACAAGTTCTTCTGCATTTCAATTGATCTTTCAGCTAACATTCTCCTAACACAAATTGCATTCCTTGTTCCTTTTTCCTTTCTGAAACCAAACAGACTCCAAGATACTTTGGCCTAAATTTTCTTTTTTATTCTGTTCATGAGTACAGGTAAAATTATCTTGGTTACATGACTCATAAGGCTGATAAGTCTATAATTGCTACAGTTTAATAGATCTCCTTTCTTTGGAATAGTTATAAAAACCGACTCTTTCATTTGATTAGGTATTACACCACTGTTATATATACTATTTGCCAAGTCTAAAATCTTTTCTATCCCAAGATCTTCACAAGCTTCAATCATTTCTTTAGAAATTTTATCATTCCTTGTAGCTTTACCATTTTGCAATGATTTGATAGCTGATTCAATTTCTGATTGTAATATAATTGTTCCTGTTAATTCTGTTGTGGATATTTCTGGTGTTACTTCAGGTCTACTATCATTAAATAACTCTCCAATGTATTCTACCCATCTGTCTAGGACTTGTTTTTTCTCAAATATTACATCTCCGTTTTTGTTTTTCAGTGCAGTGTTTGCAGTTTTCATCTTTGGCTTTGTCATAGTTTTGATTTTATTGTACAATAGTTGATTTTTATTTGCCAGATCTTCTAATTCCTCACATTGTTTGTTTACCATTTCTTCTTTGGCTTTAGCACGTTTCTGTTTGATAAGTTTATGAATTTCCATGTACTCTTCACTGCTGTTTCTGTTTTTATACTTCCATCTTTGTTTCATTAGATTTAGTATTTCTGTTGTCATCCATGGCTGTTTTGCTTGTTTATCTCTTTTTGGTAAAACCATATTTGCGGTCTCAGTTAGTATTTCTTCCAGTTGGTTCCATTTTGCACATGGGTCTTCATTGTGACTTTTTTCTGTTGTTAGTTCGTTGTATCTATTTGTGACTTGTATCTTGAATTGATTTGCAATGTTGTTGTTGGTTCTTAATAAATTGAAATTAAACTTCGGTTCCTTTCTTTTTGTTTTGATCTTTTTCAGTAGAACAACCATCTTGGCAACTAAGAGAATATGGTTGCTCTTGCAGTCAGCGCTAAGGATGGTTTTGCACTGCTTTATACCATTTCTAAGTCTTTGGTTTATACAGATGTAATCAATCTGGTTTCTGCTTTGATCACCAGGACTTTTCCAAGTGTATAATCTTCTATTGTGGTGTTGAAATATATATATGTATGTATATGTGTATATATATGTTTATGTATATATATACGTATATATATGTATATATGTATATATGTATATATATATGTTTATGTATATATATATGTTTATGTATATATATGTTTATGTATATACATATATATATATATATATATATATATATATATATATATATATATATATATATATATATATATATATATATATATATATATATATATGTATATGTATGTTTGTATTTATATATAAAATATACACATGTTTATTCATTGATTCATGTATTCAGTCATACATACATACATACATATATAAATACATGCATGCATACATACATATTTACCTATCTGTATATGTGTATGTATATTCATATGTATATATTTATATATACACATTTGTACATTCGTTCATTCATTCTTTCATACATATAAATACATTCATACGTATATGCATACATACCTTCCTACATATAGATATACATACATACATGCATATATTCATATCTATCAGACTGGCCTTTCTGACCCTCTTGTCAAATGCTCACTCTAGTTTGTTCTGGGTCTCTAGCTCTTATTTTTTTCCAGGACTGCATCACTCCACTTTTTGATCAAGTTTCAAATTGTGCTGTGTTTGTGGGTTGATTTACCATGTTAATGCACTCCTACACTTTGTCATCAGAGATTCTCTTGAATGCTGAATGTTTTAATTTACTCATGATTTACTTGAATATATATTTACAAGAATATTATTACTGTAGAGCCTGCAAAGTGAAGATGTGGGGCCTACTGCAGCAAAATCTACTTCAGTAGCACACTCGCAGCCCGTTAAGAGGCCTTCCAAGAGGATAGCCACAGAACCTGCCCCAGGCATCTGTCAGAAGTTGCAGGAAATCCAAAAAGGTTAGAAGCTGCATATATTTAATGACAGAGTACAAGTCATCAATATATTCTGCAGATTTTTAAAGGAAATTGATGCATATCTAGTGAAGAAAAAATTGATTTTTTTCTAGAAATCTCTTCAGACTTTAGGCTTAAAAAAGTTAAGTAGGGAACATCTTAAAGTTGCAGTAGGTCTCAAGAGTAAAGACAATTATATTGAAAACTCTACCATAGAATGGCCTTTGCTCCAGAGGTCAAATGAGATACTCAAATTTGCTCTTTATTTGGTAGGAATTAAAAAGGAAAATCTTTCAGCAGAAATAACAGTTTCCCTTATGTCATCACTTTATACCATTACCCCAGGTAACCAGTCACCAAATGCATTCGATGTGCAAAGGAAACACTTTGAAAATATCAAAGATAACTGGCGTGAAAATGAGATCAATAACAAAGTTCAGTTGGAAAGGCAGAGGGAAATGGAGTTGCTGATGAACAGATTCAAGAAGCCAGTTCGTCCTCAGGTTGAGATGAAAACAACTTCAGCAACACATCAGTCAATTATGCATGGTATGTATGGTTCCGAGAGCAGAGGTGATATTGTGCCGTAGGCCAAATTTGAGAAGTCGACAATTGGGTCTGAGATTATGATCATATTAGCGAAATCTTCAATTTTGTGGCGTGATTTTGTTTACCAGATTAACCCATGTCACATCATGCCATGCCCACTGTGAGTTTACTTGTTTAATTGTCTTTACATATAGATGGCTACACTTGTACTAAGTCACCAATGAGCCAGTTATGAGTATTGCCTGTATCTCCAGTTCACCCTTTTCATTGATTTACGAAAATATTTTACGTTATCCTATTTTGCTGTTACTAATGTTTATAACATTATAGTAATTATAATATTTATAATAAAAATAACACCATCGATATTCATAGCACTAGTAAAAAATACGTTTTTCCCGTCAATTCAACGAAAGATGAAATCAGGTAAGGTCAAAAGGTCTACTAATTGACTCCTATGTGACTAAGCACTAGCAGAGCCATCTATGTACAGAGACATTTCTCAAAAATATAAAAAGTGCGCACAGCCTTTTCCCCATTTTTAAAATTTATTTTCCCGAGCAGCAATGGATTAATAGGAGTGTCAGACAGTAACTTGCTATGTATTGTAATAGAATGCTTTGTGTGTTGGTAGCCACCCAAAGATACTATCTGGAAAACTTTCCTTGTGACAGAGAGATTAAGGGACCCAGAGGAGTCTGAGACTGAGTATGCAGAGAGTGAAGATTCCTATGCTGATTCCACAACATCAGAGGATACCTGTGCCAGGTTAGCACCAGCAGGACCTCCCAAGCCACCCAGACTCTACCTAGAATCTTCGTCCTCAGCCTCTTCTGGAGCCATCACATCCCCTCCTGTCCCCGTTTCTCCTGCCAAAGAAATCCCTGGAGGGTATCGCTACTCTCCACCCACCAGACTTAACTCAACTGAGATTGAAGGTTAATAGTTGATAGTTACTTCTCTGTGGAAGACAAAGTGTTATTGCATTGCTGAAACAAAACAAATTATAAAGTGGATTTACATTACTTATAAAAAAGTCTACTCATTGTGAAGAGTGCCAGTAGTTAGTTCATTGACCTTTGGTGCAGATTTTGATTATCTACACAATTAATGGATTTTTGCCTGTCATTTTTATGTCTGTTAGTTATCTTTCCGGAAGTGGAAATATATTACCTAGTAAAAATAAAAAGTGATACTGATCTTCATAATTTTCTCGTATAATATGGCATAGAAAGTCAATTAGAATCTTTGTGTAAAATTGAATTCTGACCTTTCAGAGGTGTGTGCGTCTCCAAAGAAAGAATTTGTTCCACGGATCAAGCCAGGCTGCCTTTTCCCATCACTGTCAGATATTGAGTCTCAGTCAGAAGCTGTGGATAGCCAAGATGAAGATGATGTTGGTGATTCCAGGTACAACATTATACCTCTGCACACGTGTCAAAGCAGCACCAAAGATTTGAAAATTTATAATTAGCATCAAATAGCTGTGGTAGTACTTTTGAAAAATTAAGATATATCCCTCCCCCACACCCCCCCCCCCCTGACACACATACCTCTCTCTCCACACACTCACACTCACACTCACACTCCAAATGTGCTCACAAACCGCCCTGACACGTACCCAAACTGCCTAGACCGCCCAGACGCATACCCAAACTGTGTACTCTTGTCTTTTTTTTTTCCTCTCTCTCTCTCTCTCTCTCTCTCTCTCTCTCTCTCTCTCTCTCTCTCTCTCTCTCTCTCTCTCTCTCTCTCTCTCTCTCTCTCTCTCTCTCTCTCTCTCTCTCTCTCTCTCTCTCTCTCTCTTTCTCTCTCTCTCTCTCTCTCTCTCTGTCTTTTCCTCTCTCTCTCTGTCTTTTCCTCTCTTCTCTCTGTCTTTTCCTCTCTCTCTCTGTCTTTTCCTCTCTCTCTCTGTCTTTTCCTCTCTCTCTCTGTCTTTTCCTCTCTCTCTCTGTCTTTTCTCTCTCTCTCTGTCTTTTCTCTCTCTCTCTCTGTCTTTTCTCTCTCTCTCTCTCTGTCTTTTCTCTCTCTCTCTCTCTGTCTTTTCTCTCTCTCTCTCTCTGTCTTTTCTCTCTCTCTCTCTCTGTCTTTTCTCTCTCTCTCTCTCTGTCTTTTCTCTCTCTCTCTCTCTCTGTCTTTTCTCTCTCTCTCTCTCTCTGTCTTTTCTCTCTCTCTCTCTCTCTCTGTCTTTTCTCTCTCTCTCTCTCTCTGTCTTTTCTCTCTCTCTCTCTCTCTGTCTTTTCTCTCTCTCTCTCTCTGTCTTTTCTCTCTCTCTCTCTCTGTCTTTTCTCTCTCTCTCTCTCTGTCTTTCTCTCTCTCTCTCTCTCTGTCTTTCTCTCTCTCTCTCTCTCTGTCTTTCTCTCTCTCTCTCTCTCTGTCTTTTCTCTCTCTCTCTCTCTGTCTTTTCTCTCTCTCTCTCTCTGTCTTTTCTCTCTCTCTCTCTCTGTCTTTCTCTCTCTCTCTCTCTCTGTCTTTCTCTCTCTCTCTCTCTCTCTCTCTCTCTCTCTCTCTCTCTCTCTCTCTCTCTCTCTCTCTCTCTCTCTCTCTCTCTCTCTCTCTCTCTCTCTCTCTCTCTGTTAACCCATTGACGCCGGGGATGGCATGTACGTACATGCCATGCCCACTGTGAGTCGACTTGTTTGTTTGTTTTTACACATAGATGGCTACACTTGTACTAAGTATCCAATGAGCCAATTACGAGTACTGCTCACAAACCGCCCTGACACGTACCCAAACTGCCTAGACTGCCCAGACGCGTACCCAAACTGTGTACTCTTGTCTTTTTTTTTTTTTTCCTCTCTCTCTCTCTCTCTCTCTCTCTCTCTCTCTCTCTCTCTCTCTCTCTCTCTCTCTCTCTCTCTCTCTCTCTCTCTCTCTCTCTCTCTCTTCTCTCTCTCTCTCTTTTTTTCTCTCTCTCTCTCTGTCTTCCTCTCTCTCTCTCTGTGTCTTTTCCTCTCTCTGTCTGTCTTTTCCTCTCTCTATCTGTCTTCCTCTCTCTATCTGTCTTTTCCTCTCTCTCTCTCTCTCTCTCTCTCTCTCTCTCTCTCTCTCTCTCTCTCTCTCTCTCTCTCTCTCTCTCTCTCTCTCTCTCTCTCTCTCTCTCTGTCTTTTCTCTCTCTCTCTCTGTCTTTTCTCTCTCTCTCTCTGTGTTTTCTCTCTCTCTCTGTGTCTTTTCTCTCTCTCTCTCTGTGTCTTTTCTCTCTCTCTCTCTGTGTCTTTTCTCTCTCTCTCTCTGTGTCTTTTCTCTCTCTCTCTCTCTCTCTCTCTCTCTCTCTCTCTCTCTCTCTCTCTCTCTCTCTCTCTCTCTCTCTCTCTCTCTCTCTCTCTCTCTCTCTCTCTCTCTCTCTCTGTTAACCCATTGAAGCCGGGGAAAATGAACAAAAAATGGAGGAAATGCAGTACTCATTTTTTATATTTTTGTGAAATATCTCTGTTCATAGATGGCTCTGCTAGTCCTGATTTCACCTTTCCTTGAATTGGCGGGAAAAAACGTATTCTTACTAGTGCTATAAATATAGATGGTGGTATTTTTAACAGCAAATTAGGATAACGTTAAATATTTTCGTAAATCGATGAAAAGGGTGAACGAGGGAGACAGGCAGTACTGTAATTGGCTCATTGGATACATAGTACAAGTGTAGCCATCTATGTGTTTAAACAATCAAACAAGTCGACTCACAGTAGGCATGGCATGTATGTACATGCCATCTCCTGGCGGCAATGGGTTAATTTTAGTTTTAAAACCAGTATTTGATCAGTATTACATAAGGCCAAGAAATTATATTTTACAATTTATGTGTATTTTTTATTGATATAGGCACTTATTTTGTAAAGGAAGTGTTTTTAACTTGAAGTCTTATTCCAGCTTTGCTGAGAGCATCTTGACCTGCACTTCCATGGAGAGCCTTGGACAGAAGATACAGCAGGCTGCACATGCTGGCATCACCAAACAGTTGTCTACTATTGCAGAAAGAACAGAAATAAACAACTCACATGTATGTTTTCAAGTGATCCTCATATGAAAGAAGGGAGCTCACTTATATCTCATATACATTACTTTAATTTCATTCCATAATAACTGTAAATTTCCTACATATTACAGTATGACTACGAGACTGGAATGTCAGCAAGCACAATGGAAGCAGTTGCTGCCATTGACGATGCTATAGATGAAGCCCTAGATGATGAGCCAACACCCCCTAAGAGGCAGTGTCCGCAAGAGGAAATAGTAAGAGAGTTCTCAGTTGCCTTATGAATAGTTTATTCTACCAATTGATTTTTTTTGGGATGACCTAAAATTAGTGTTGTTTGAAAGTAAGTGCCAGTAGCTTGTAATTAGATAAAATTCATATTGCATCAAGGTAGTGCATCATTACTCAGTCTTGTAAGAAAATATAGATTACAGATCTTAATATTTTAAATAATATATTTTTAACTTCTTTTAGGTTATAAGTGCTTACAAAACCCCAAAGCTGAATCATGACTCCCCAAGCAAGATTGAGGACAATGAAAATACTCTTGCTCACAGTTTATCCATGTATCGCAAACAGAAACCA